TGAATGTCATCTGCTCAATGAGGCCTTCCCTGACCACACAATATAAACAGCTCCTCCCGCACCTTAGTTTCTCTACTGTTTTCTCATTTTACTGACTCCTTCGTGCTATGAAGTTATCCACCTATTCACACATTGACTGTCTCCACTATGAGAATCGGCTTCATCTCTTGTTCATCACTGTATGTCCTACACCTAGAGTCAGCATACACTACACATAAGGCACTAAACACTTATTTGCTGAGTAAATGAAAAGGCTGTGGTAGAAGGTCACCAGGGACGTGAGAATCCAGAGGCCGAAGTCATAACTGCCATGGGGATAAGAAGGGAGGTTCCCAGGGGGAAGTGACACGTGGGCTGTCCTGAAGGATGAGTAGGTATTTCTCAGTCAGAATAATGATTTAATAGCAGCTGCTGGTACTACTTTTCTGTTTTGCTTCTATGTGCCAAACACCATGTCGGTTACTTGGTATGTTTATTACCCCAGCCTCCTAACAGCTTGGCTACATAGAGATTATCCCCATTTTACAGGTGAGATAACTGAGGCTGAGGGGTTAAATGATCTGCCTGAGGGCGGGAGGATTGCTCTGAGTCAGTTGGGTAATTGTTCTTCTTCCACACCACACAGGAAGGGCAGGAGAGGAACTGGCCAGATACTAATAAAGGTGCTGCTTAACCTGCTTACACTCTGTATTTGTCGTCCCACTTTCTCCCCACAATAGCTCAGGTAAGTGGGAATTCATCCTACCCGTACAGGTGCAGCTCAGAGATGGGCCCCAAAGTTCAGCTCCCCGACCCAGGTGTAAGTGGGGGTGAGAAGCCAGGCCTGGATGTGGGGGCCGCCCAGACGACATAAAGGGGGGGGCCGCGACCACCTGGGGCACAGGAAAGGGTGGTGAGAGGTCTGTGCTCCCACTGCGCAGGGATGAGTGGAGCTGCTGGTGTGGAGGGTGGCACAGGGCAGGGGTGGAGGTGGATAAGTCAGGGTCCAGCTGTTGGTCGGCCGGCGGCTGTAGGTCGGATCAGCCTTGCCACCTTTGTGTAGCTGTTAAGGGAGAGAATCGCTGTGAGTAAAGTCGCCGCCTTTCCCAGGACCAGCCATCAGGGGCTCCCGCGAGGCCTCAGCCCAGCTCCTGGGGGCGGAGGGAGTGGGGGGTCTCCAAGGCCGGCCTCCAGAGCGGGTGGGTGGAGGGCGTGGCAGGGGCCG